TCATACCGGTTTTGCTTGCAGAGTGTAGAACTTTTATAATGATTGGTATGCTGATTTAGCTTTCGTTCGAATGACGAACATATGTACGGCAGTAATTGATCAAACATGTTTCTTCAAGTGTGAAGGGAGGATATCTGCCTTATTTATACGCGTGTTGAGAGGGCGAACAGAACTACACATTTTCCAGTATCAGTATTACATGAAAGATAAGCGTAGTGAAAGAGATTGAAATGATGTAAGAATTTGGCATCGAAGTTAGTAAAAAAAAATTTTTTGTATTTCCTGTTGCAAGAATATTTAAAAGTCATTAGATTAATTTCCTACGACGTTGATATACTTAGTAAGTTAGGAAAGTGCACAAGGGGATGAGCTAAATTGTTTAATGTAATTTCTGGTGAAGCGTGAATAGTACTATTTTATGTATATGAAAAGACGTACAGTATAAGCGTAGTTAGCGAAAGAAATTTTTATTGCTATGTTGTGTTTTAGGAAACCGTTATAAAAATATACGGAAAATAAAAGACACGAGTCATCGGTTTTAATGTATTATGTATGTACGATACTGATACACTTAAGTTAGAGGAAGTGCATACACTGGGAAAATGTATAGTATAGCAGAAGGACGAATGAGCAAACGATGAGGAATTAAATAGTTTATTGTTACAGAAATGGAAAAAACAAGTCATCGGTTAATATCTAAATTAGAAAAAGCACACATTAACATGCTGTTGAGAAATATATAGAACTGTAGTACAGTCAATGAATTTGAAGTAATGAAATATGATTCTATAGTGACAAAAACATGGCTAATTAAACCAATAGGTTATGGTAAATATGAGGGAATCGCGTGTATAGTGTTAATTAAAAATAAATGTATGGGTTATACCTTTATTTTCCAGACGTTATAGCTTGAATACATAATAAGTGGACAAATAGTGATTATCTCGTTACAGCCATCGCAATGATACCAACAATCGTTAGGGGAGACAAATCAGCGTGTTGCAGAAATAATAGAGTGAAAGTTTTTAGAATATCCCATAAACGATCGGTACCCCACAAAAAGATTTTCACCAGTGGAAAGACCTAAACTGGTATGTAAGTAGATAGGAGAAAAAGATATTTTCTTTTGAAATATGGTATGTATCGGAGTGTAGACGGGCATGGAAACTGAATGTAATCTTCTTCGCATAAAATCTCTTGTAGTTTATCGGAAGGGACGCCAGTATGTGGTATATGAGTTGGGAAAGTGGTACAGTCAACCCTCTATATATTCACGCCCTTGGGAATGAGCCAAGCTGTGCATATATAGAGGTCAGCATTTTATTGGTTGCACGTAATATTGATATAGTTATAATGAAAGACAAAAATAAAATAACCGTTTACTTTATTGTTGTTTGTTTCTTTACATTAATAAACTATAAATAATATAATAATCAAGAGCATTAACATGCTTGAATAACTCTTTAGTAACAAATTCTAGATTGGAATGTCTGATGGTTTTTGTCAAGCTCTTCAATAATAATAAATGGTTGTCATTGGCACTTTATGAATATTTCAAGAAACAAATAGATTATAAATATCAACAAGTGCACATCGGAAAAAAAACAATATATAAAAAAGGGTACAAAAACGCATTTCTTCTTCCTGGACTAACATCACGTGAAAATCACGGGCGTGCATATAGAGGAAAATTGTGCTACAAACCACTACAGATGCGTGATTTTGGTGGCGCACTGCCAAAAGAGGCTTGGTTATTAAACGTTATAAGTGTTTGTGGCGCTTCTAAGCGTTGTATCTTAGATTTTCTATACTAAACCTATTGGGCGGTCAGAGATAATAAAGATCGGAAGCGTTTATTTGACAAATTCCCAGCGTTTGAACTATTGTCAAATCAATTGAGACAGATTACATATGATAGCTTCATACTGGTATTTTTATGAGTGCCACGAAAACAACAAAGAAAAAGAGAATCGACATTTCACATTTACAGCTGTTGCTTTCGAATATATTAACCGCGCTATCGCTCCTACTCAAGCCCATATATTATCTACCAAAAACTAAAAGAAAAAGGTAGCCCAGCCAAGAAAACACAATGTGCAAACCTGCATGCACTTTTCCAAGTAAAGGAAAAATTCACTGAGAGTGATTCCTTACTGCGGATCAATACATCTTGCATGAAACTGACATCAAATGATCCGAAAACGTTACCAATAAGACGGTTCTTATGCATTGGTAATAACATAATCACGGGCCTAAAATAAACAAGCGGTTATTGTATAGACGATAAAATATACTAATTATAATACCGCATATTACATATTACATATTATATTAATATTAAAACAAACATGTTTAAAGACAGGTCTACTTTCCTTTCTTACCTTATAGCAAGCCACTCGTCTTCTGACTCACATGCAATTAATCATATTTAAGTTTCATTAGCTAATAAATATAATATTAAAGTAAAATTAGTCATCTAAACCTTGACAGCAAAGAGTCCAGACTTGGACTAGTCTCATAGCAAAGGTGCATAACTAAAAAAAAAAAAAAACACCGGAAGAAACCCCATTAAAAACGTTGCCAAGACTTTTCAGTTATATATTAAGATTAACAAAAAAACACATACAAACAAATGCAATCAGTCAGCCAGTCGGTTTATTCAGCACAAATTCCGCGTTTTTTAACAAAGTCATCGAACAGGCCTTTCCAAAACGTGGCATTTAAAAGCTGGACAATGTAAATGACGCCCAAGACTGCTGCCCTTTACTCACCCCCTGCATCCTTCTCGAGATGTGCCTTTCTGCCAATATATGCTATTACTCCTGCAGCTATCATTAAAAGGCAACTCATAAAGATATTCAATGGGAGGAAATAAATAAAATAATTATACTATATTTTTACCTACTTTATACTATCACTGTAGTATAAAAACTTATACTCTTGCAATTATATTTGTTCTATGTACATACTCTTCGCACGCCTTGATATTGTTTTGTTAGTTGCTCGTTGTAAAACTACTTTATATTGTATATACACTATAATTTGATATATCAATTTTTTTGTGTAAGCATGCTTCAGTTTTTGGTAAAAAATATATCCCAGATTTTCCTTACAATGTTGTGCGAGTGGCTACTGCTTCAAGTAAAGAAACACCAATAAGAAAGGCTTACGAGAAAAAACTTGTTTCAGATAGAAGAGTTGAATATGCCGCGCACTTTATGACGCCAATGTGCAGCTATTAAAATAAATTGAATGACCTGCCTCTTTGCGTTGCGATACTTTTCTTCTCTATTGTTAGAATAAAGCATGCATAAATTAAACCGTTAGTTGTAAAAATTTTTTGGCGCAGCTTTGGGTTATCTGTTGCGACAAACTTACCATATGAGGAAAAAATTCAAAATTATAGCCAATTTATATGAAACTCAGAGTTGTGTTTTTTTCTTCATATGTTTTTAATATGTCAAACAACAACAAACAAAAAACTTTAATAAACAAGCGTCAATTTTAGAATGGTTAAAGTGTGCATACTGTATAACTTTGGCTCGTGCGTTTATACGTAAATCTTATCAAACATATTGTAAAAAAAATTATTTTTTTGCTTAAGAAAAAAACTTAAATGTTTTCGTACACGGCATATTCATAATCGATCCTTATTTCCACATATGAATATTGTTCTTAGTCCCTTCAATAGTTTGTTCTTATATCGTCTCATTAATCTTAATACGCTGACATTTGTTCGCGCTTCTTTTCTTTTTATACGCGTTTCGTCTAAAGTAATTGATCAGCATTAAACATATGACGCTGTAATTGTTAGCTGCATTTGTACTGATATTGCTCACCTTTTCGGATATCAGTCTTTGAATCTTCAAGAAAAGTTACCATTTGTTGTCTTGTTGGCGTGGTGGCTACAAATACAGGATCATTTATACAAATTAGCATATCAAATTAGACCCCACAACACGTAAACCCCGTATATTAACCTGCAGTCGATGTCATTGCTGTTGTGTCCTCTGATTCACTTTTCTCGTGAGAAGCTACAAGCGTTTCTAACATTCAAATTAAATATATGTCAGTATTCCATCTCTAGAAAAAATAAACTCACTTTTTAATAACGTTACCTATTGTAACGGAATCGGATTTTTGAGAATTAATGTCTACGTAACATATCATGATATTAATTAATGTTTATGTCTTTAATAGAGAATAATACAAGGTTACTATACTTACCACTGGTCACTGATTTATTTCCATTTGGTGCTCTTGTCGCACGCCTATACTGACTGCGCAGCGATGCACCTAAAGACATAAAACGTGTTCGTAAGAGAGTTTGTGTACGAGCGCAAACAAACAACTACCCACAACTTACTTGATTCTGAATGTCTGGCAAATGAACCACCGTTGAGAGCATAAATATTCGTTAACGAATTTGATGCTAGTAACAAACAGAGAAACAATAGTCAGCACTAAAACTTGGTAGATGCATAAACACAACCAATCTTGCAACGCTCACTCCATACACGATTACGCACACACTCAGACCCACACTCACTCACAGGCACAGACACACACTCACACTCACACACTCACACTCACTCACTCACACTCACACTCACACAACACACTCTCACTCACTCACAGACACACACACTCTCTCTCTCCCACTCTCACTCTCTCTCACTCTCATTCTCACTCCTCCCCTCCTTCCTTCCGTTTCACATACCTCTCAGCGTTATTGTCCCTCTCAATGTAGACACATCCACCCAACTACTCT